TATAAGCCAGACTGCCTCAGTTATACAGCATCCGAATCACAGGAACATAGAGCAGTAAAAACCTTTCTTGATCACCGTAATATTTAAGGGAGGGAAAAGAGAAAATCTGGCAAAACCTGATTGTGTTTCACTCTTATAAATCACTATGCAAACTAATAATCTAATTTAATACTGAAATAGAGGCCATTCAACAGTGTTAATTGGGACTGGAATTTCTCTCAGTAAGCACTGCTCTGTGTGGGCCACACTCGGGGGCAATTCTCCTCCAGGGGGGCTGCTGGTGAGGAAAGGGCCAAGGGGGGAGGCAGGGCTGGGACAACGACATGCATGCCCACAGAGAGGGCTCTGAGTGCCGCCTCTGGCACGCGTGCCATAGGTTCGCCATCACTATTATAAGGTATACTATATTCTGTATTTTGACAGACTTTTTAGTGCAAAGCTGCTCTCCCTTATTTCTTTTCAGAATGGATTTTGAAGGTTCAAAAATTGTTTTCTGAATGAAAAATTCTTCTATGTTAGCATTATACCATCACTGTAAATTATCTTTACTCATTTAACCAGAAATGTGACCAAAATCAGCAATTTGGTTAATCTTAGTTTCTTGGCACTTCAGTTTCTGTTATTAACTGAAATTGTATGAACATTTTCAATATACTGTTTCACCCACATTCTGGTCCCCATCGATTGCGCAATGTCATCCAATACAACTCAGGAAGCTTTGAAAGGATAATGTCCCAGAGATCTTCATGCCTTCTACCCCAATGACATTCGGGAACCTACCAAAGATCAAATGGTTCTCCTGGGCTTTAGGCAGGATGATGGCTCAGCCCATCATTTGGAGGATTTTTTAAAAGTTACAAATTCACCTTCAGATTATTTGTCGTTTCTTATTCTTTTCTTACTTTTAATTATAAACCATTCAGAGTCATTAGGACCATGTGGCCTATAAACTATAAACAAGTCTGCATATATAAATAAAACCTTATGCCAAATACAATGAATTCCAATTTCTCAAAGAAAATATTTTTAAGTATTGAGGGTTTTTTTTAATACCCTGAAGCCTATTAGCATCTATTCATAAGAATGTTCTTGGAGAGTAGATTTTTTTAGTTTTTGCAAGTCAGCTGGAGCTTAAAATAATCATATTCACAAAACCCACTTCATTTTTATTTAAATTAAATCAAGTTGAGTTCTTGTCTTGGGCTCATTAACTTGTTGTTATTTGAACTCAGTATACCATTCAAAGTCCAAGGACAACCCTCACCATAAAAAAAATGCATGTCTGGATATTTTTTTAAAAAAAAGATGGGATGCTTTTGTGCATAAAATAAACATAACATGTATATCTTATGGCAGATAGCAATAACATCTCCACAAATTTTTTCCACTTTCATTGAAAAGACATTTATTATATGATAAATATATTTTGACAGTATTTGTCTAAGAATGGCAGTATTAAATTGTTGGTAAAGAGGAAACTTGTGTGAATTCCATCTTTCCTTACCACCTGTTATTGTTGAGATCCAAGTAACAAAGTTTGTATTTTCCATTGCGTATTTTTCCTTTTGATTAAGTCCTTGGAGTAAAGATAATATTGGTCCCACAACATAAATATGTGCAACAGCTC